AATCAACACGATATACACGTGATGATTGTTTTGATTGAGATGCACGATTTTTGAAACTTGAATATGGATTATTGGTTGATCGACTTGCATATATTTCACTTGGAAAACAATATACAGATCGACTATCATCACGATCACATAAAGTTTCCATTGATAATGGATTACCTGAAAAGAAAAATGTCATTTTCAATCAACTTTTCAAATAAGTATCTCGAAGAGAATTTTATACAAGCAAAATTCTTGTCGAGTTTATTGTTCTTTTATATTAAACATTGTATTGTTGAATAATCTTACGAGGAATCGTCTTTAGATGTCAAATCGCTTTTCAACTGAGACGATGTTCATTTGATAAGTAAAAGAAAAGTCTAGAATAGTTTTCCGGGCTTTCGTTTTGACGATATCGAAATTTTACTGAATTTTCCAACAAAAAAGCGGTACTCACGTCAGAAATTGACTTTCGATTTCAAACTTTGTACGAATAAAATTCTTAATGAGATTAGTTGGTTGGACAACTTTTAGTTTCTCTAGTATCTCCTATCGTAAGATATTCAATATTCGAAATTTTTATATGTATAAAAGTAAATTTTGTTCATATATTTACATCTTCACAAAGGAAATACTAGTTATACAATGAACTAGTCTCATTAAAAACTTTGTTCATACAAAGTTTAAAGTTAAAAGTCGATTTTTGACGTGAACACAACTTTCTGTTGCAAAAACTCAGTAAAATTTTGATATGTCACGAACGCGAAGGCCCTGAAAACCAAACCATTCTAGAGTTTTCTATTACTCGCTAGCGCTCATCAAATGAACATCATTTCGGTCGAAAAAGCAATTTGATACATGGAGAGGTTCTCTCATTAGTAAAATAAAAAAAGATAGCTATGACTGATTCTACCACTATGTCAATTAAGGGTACAACCGATTCGCTTGAAATTTTTAATTCACATATAGTACCTAATATAAGGAAACAAATATTTGAGAAATACCCTAGAGTTACATCAGACCGGTTTACGATCTCCCTATGTCTGATCCGGCTGAAAATTTTTCTTGAAGATACCTTAGACTATATCTCACAGTTGTTTTTAAATGTTTTCAAAAATCTCGCTTTCTTTTTTTGACTAGTGAAATGCGAAAAGGTCCGAATCTAAAACTGATGTATTGACATTCAGAACTCTATAAAACCGGACGGGAAGATAAAAAAAAAGAAAACAGCTAATTTCATCTCTGGAGAAATCTTCTAGATAACTGTGGTAAAAATTTCAGACAGATTCGTTATATCCTCTTCAAGAACCAGAAATGGTCAAAAAAGAATGGATTGTCCTCAATGTACAAATACAAAATATCACTTTATATTGAATACCATCGCCTATAGTAGAGATATTTTCTTATAAATCATCTTTGAAAATTTCTTTAAACCGTATGGAAGTTTTAGTCTAGCTCAAAATCAAATCAGGGGAAGTGTACTCACAGTGTAAATGACGCTCTGTTGAATTAGATTGACAAGTTCAAGTATATAAGAGTGAAATCCTCAAGTTATGAAAAACAAGACGGCAAAATTCGTCGATGAATTAGTGCAAGCAGCAGATAATGTCTGTCTGTAGGAAAAAGACCAGTCGGACATCCAAGAATCAATTGGCGCAAATGCATCGAGAAACTCTGCCAGGAATGTTTAGAGCTTGAGCAAATCAAAATTCAGCATGCAACAATAGATCGAAACCACTACCGAACGGGCTTAAATCCAGATTCGAAAGGATCAGAGGAAAGAAAATGAATGATGAGTCAGATCAGGATGAGTACTTCCTTCCATGTTAGAAACTCGGACTAGAGTTTGTTCCGATTTGGTAGAATTTCGACTATATTTTTCGAAATATCCTCTTCTGCTTTTACTTCTTCGCACCTCCACTACATCAAACTTTTACATATAAGATTTTTTAAATATTGAAACTATCTTTTTTTCCTCTCACAACAAACAAGATATATTATAGATTTTCACAAACATGGCAATGATGCTTCATACTGAAATATGTTGTCATCATGAAAAATACAAATCGATGATGATTATATCTATACATTCTTTTTTTCTTCTACCTTTTTTAGCAATAAGTTGAATAATTAAATGGAAAATAGCCATCGATGGTGATAAATATTGTCGTTGCATATCGAATGTATCAATAACCATATCGAATAAATCAAAAATAAATGACGGATAATCAGGTAAATTACGACCATCGAGACTATTAGGAACTATTAGTTAAAAGAAATTCGTTAACACAAGAAAATGCTAATACAAACTCAATATAAAAACTTACAATCAATGACAATTGACATAGATTCCGGTAACCAATCAACAAGTTGACCTGAAAGAAAAAAAAAGAAATGACAATTAATCTCTTTGTTATTTATGAAAATAAATTAACCTCCAATAGTCAATGGATCTGTTGGTATATTATTATTGTGTAAATTAGATAAGATTTGAGAACCATCAATAAATTTCAGTTCTTGTTCAATTTGATGAAGAAGATAACCGCCATGACGATTCCGTGTTTTTAATAAATATTTTTCTAGACGTTCAAGAAAATATTGTTTCCAACTCTAAATTTAAAGAGAACAAACAAAAAAAAAATGATTTCAATAAAAAATTCGACTTACATCACTCATTACAGATGCTGATGATTCTTGTGGTGGATGAATTTGATGATCAGTTGTTTTATTTGTATTAATCATTGATTGAAAAACGTTTTCATCCAATTTTGATAACAGTCTAAAAAAAGATTTATTAATCAAGTTTTTTTCGAAATTTCAATAACATCATGTGGGACCCAATCCTAATCATAAAAAATATATATTTAGTATTATCTTTAATCTGTCTTGAGTAATATATATATACATGTCAGTGTCCAAACTAAAGTTACGTTCAATCTCAGATTGGCCTAGGCGAATGTGAGATCCGAGATTGGACTGACGTTTTTTCAGGTCATTCTCGTATAAAATATAAAACACTCGTCCATTCTAGGATTGGATATGAATTTTCTTTTTACCTATTCACGCTCTTTTAGATGTTTTTTTAACATCTTTAGTCAATCTATCGTATAATTTTTAGAAGCAGATTCATTATTGACCAATAACAGAATTTAGTGGCGGAAATTTTTAGATTTTCATTTTTGTTTTTTTTTCCTACTTTATAGACACTTCGACGTATCTTCGATTTATTGGTCACCTCTTAAGGATTAATATAGAATTATAACAGCTAAATAAACTGAAAAGATGAAACGTTTTCACTAAAAAACATTCAACTTTACATATTATCACACTGTATTTGGAAAATGAGTTTTTTTGATAAAAAAAAAGTGGAGGATCGCTCTTGTTTCTCAACCACAGTACATCTGGTTGAGTTGAAACTTTCTTTTACTCATACTAGAAAGTGTTTAAAATACCTACCAGTTTTTGTCTCAAAATACGATGTTCGACTGGTTTTTGTTAGGGTTTCAAAAAAAAGTGCTCTTTTGAGAATGCTCCCAAGTTTCGGGTGGTCTCATTCAAACAGAAGAAGATGAAAATAAGACGATCCAAATGTATCTGGTATTTGTAAAAAAAATTTTTTAACTCTATCAGGCATCTTGCGGCTGAGATAGGAAGCGAGCGATAAGGAGAGCCATTTTTTGCCCGTGAGAACTAAATATTTCTTGCAGGGAAGCATTCCTAGATTTTGAATCTATGATAAAATTTTCTCTACTCATCGAGATCTATCCACTCTGAAACTTTCAAAAATTTTTGATAGATAGTTCTCCAAAAGTGCCGGAAAGAATATCCCTACATTGCGGTATCGGGTGTTACATAAAGGCAGATTCATTAGTTTGATATCTTCCTTACAACTAGTACAAGCTGTAACTCTGGATCGAAGATCAGTCTGAGTCCTTACGCTCAATCGCTTAAGTTCCCTATACACTCTAGCTAACCACGAGGGCAGTTATATGTCACAACTTTGCCAGTACACTATCGGATGAGTGAATCAAGACAAATAGCCGTTAGCGATTTATCTAGGATCATCTCATGGCATCAAGGTTTTGCACACAGTGTTTATTGGATACATGTTGAACAACGTAGCCACTCAGTCATGACGATCTCGATATAGTCAAACATTGTGAATCCTATAGAACTGCTAAGTTTTATTAATAATAATATTCTTATACACTATCAACAATGAAAGTTTGTCTTAAACAAAAATAAAGTGAACCTACTGATAAATTCCATTGTCAGTAACAAATGTTTTTTTTCGTTCAGTTTTAATCACATCTGTAAATACTTTCGATTCATAAAATTTTTCTAATAAACGAATTGCATGATGTCTAATGAAAACAAAAGAAAAAATTTTCATTTTTGTTATTCAAAAAATTAAAATTTCAAACAAACTTTTCAATTTGTTTTGTTTCAAAATTCGGATGTGATTTAAGAACATTTATCATACAATTAATTGCATCTAATGATGAGAAACATTGTTCATATGTTTGTGTAAAATAATTTCGACGATATTTTCTTAATTCAATTTTTGAACGAAAACCTTCAACAAGTTCATTCCACTTTGAAAAAAGGAAAAAATCTTTTTCTTTTTTTTGTTTTTCTGTATTAATAAATTATTTAATCATACCACATTTGTTGCATGAAACGATTGTTTTTTCGGTTTAACCGTTGCTGATGCTGAAGCTGACATGTATGAAATGATTGATTGGACTTTTTAATTGTGAACCAAAATATGAAACAAAGATTAATGTTTTCATTTGTTAAAATAAATTTCAAAAATTGGTTTTTTTTTCGACAAGAAAAATTTTTATTTTTAAAAATATTCTTTTATTTTAAATGAAATTAAAAAAAAATCTTTAAATTTAGTTTAAAAGAAAATTTCTTTTTCAATTTTATTGGCTGTATTATACAAGCAATCAAAATTTGTAAGTTTATCGTACTAAACGAACGAATTATGACTATCACATTTTTTCATAAAAATGGGAACAGGTAAGAAAGCTTATTTTAATATTGTTCTAATTACTTTGTTATATAATTATAGTAAATAATAATGATTCACAATGGATTCAAGATGAAGCAGAAGTAAAAAAATAATTTTTTTAGTTTATGATTTAGTTTTTAAATGACAAGATCTTCTAGAAAATTCGTTCATCTCTTCTTAATGAATTACATCGTATTGAAAATGAAGTTAATGAACAATTTTCATCATTTAAAAATGATTTTGAATTACGACATCCGAAAACATCAGAACCATTGAAAATTAAGTTAGTTATATATATATATATATATATTTCTTTTTTTTTTTGTTGAATTTTTTATCAATAAAATTAAAATTTATTTTTATTAAGACCATCATATCGTCAAATGGATGAAACCCGTGTATTTGTAGCTCGAAATTCTATACTAACGGATCTATTTGAAACATCACATATTCGTAGTATAAGAAATGTTTTTGCTGCAATGCTTCTTATACTTGTTATACAAGTTACAATTAATGATATAGTACATAGTGGAAGGTAAAAATAATTCAAAAAGAAAAAGAAAAATTTACTTTTTTCGTTTTTATTCAAGATTAAAATTAAATTTTGAATTAATATTTTACTGTTTTCAAAAATTACATATTGCTTTATTTATTTGGTTGATTATGCAATTATGCACAGCTGTGATAGTTTTTATGGGTTTTTATTATTGGACTAGTAATCGAATATTCTATTATGACAATATTAAGAGATTAAGTAAGAATAAAAATCGAATATTTGGGCTGTCAATTTTTATTTCCATTCGACTACTAATAAGAAAAATGTTCAATATATAAAAGTCAGATGCTGCAAGAGTGTTGCAACTAGAATTGCTGTTATATTATAATCTCACTCAGAATAGGTTGACTTGATGAATTCAAAGAAATGAAATAATTATTTGAAATTCTCTCTTATCAATTACAAGTTTTTTTTCCAGCTAAGATCAATTGAAAAATATTCGATGATGATTGAGTTTCTTATTCAATATAAATTTTGAACATTCCATATAAAATTGTACGAATTAACTCATATGATTAATGATAGAAATAAAGTTGTATTGATCTATCGGTAGACTAACTAATCGCAAACTTTTCTCAATGGTACTGCTATTGCTGATATCTTTCATAGTTTATTGCATTGATTTTATATAATAATTACTCGAATAACCATTAGTGATAGTCAGAGTTGATCTTTTTAAATGTCGAATAGTTGATCGTGATAGAGACTAGACATCGGCGTGACTAAAATGTCGTGACCAAAGAAAAAAAAAAGTTATTCGATTACAGCTTCAATAGTAAATGTGAGAACCGAAATCTATTTAACTATTCTTGTTCAGAATTTTCTTCTCTTCAAAATGGTATATAAATGTCGAAGAATCTGATGATCCATAACAGAGAGAATCACATCACATTAGCCGTGACCAATTCTGGTCACGGTCAGTCACGACGTTTTCTGGTCACGACTAATGTGATGCAAGTTTCTCTGTTATGGATCATCAGATTCTTCGACTTTTATATATAATTTTGAAGAGAAGAAAATTCTGAACAAGAATTGTTAAATAGGTTTCGGTTCTCACATTTATTATTGAAACTATAATCGAATAACTTTTTTTTCTTTGGTCACGACATTTTGGTCACGCCGATGTCTAATAGAGATCAATATAAATACAATAAGCAAGTGTCCGACAATGAAGAAACAAACAAATTTATGTACTATATAATAAAATGTAAACTCATGAGGCACAAGGGTACCGAAAAAAACATCAATTCTTGCCAGATTTTAGACGAGTTACATTAATTTCGGTCCAGGCTCAAATTCTTCTCATTAACTTCCCTAAAAACTCGAAATGTTGTAAAAAGTTCGTACACTTCGTAGTTCTCCGTAGTATGCGTTTTCATTAAAACATCATGTTCAATAATATGGCGTAGTCCATTGAGTACATACTCATACTAGCTTACACTTAATGTTGTGGATTTCTAAGTAGTTGGTTCAGTAATCTAATCACTGATTGAAAAACTGAAGTATTTTAACTACGAAATTCATATAATACTTTTCGTCTACTGACAAACAATGCTATCTTTCGAAATGCAATTCGTTGATCAAAACGCTACAATTATAGTGTACTCGAAATTTATACTGCTCAGCATTACGCTTTCCTACTAAATGGAATCCCAAGGACTCTAGTTTGATTTAAATATGTGCTATTGATAAGTACTTTTTAATAAAAATAGATACTACTATGGATTATTTAGTCTTGCTGACCATTACACAGGGTGTTCTATAAGTTTTGGATCTCAATAAAAATTAGTTTATATATAAACAAAGAGTGATTCGTACCTAACTATCTCTATATGAGCTTCAAGTATTTAGAACAATGTTATAAATGGCATATTATCCGATGACATTATCTCTTTTAATAATAGTGATAAAAAAACAGAAAAATCATGATAATTAAGATTTCGAAATCGATCAGTATGTTTTTTAAGAAGTTTTAATGAACTATGAATTTATCATGTGTAACATAGCACAATTATACAAAACGACATGTACAGTATCTAGGATATGAGTATGACTATCCCTGTATCCACACTCTAATTATCAACGTTTCTTCTGCTAATATCACTATTATTAAAAGAGATAATATCATTTAAAACATCATCCTAAGTATTCGAAGCTCATATAGACATAGTTAGATGAAGATCACTCTTTGTTTACACATAGGCTAATTTTCGTTGAGTCTCAGAACTTATAGAACACCATTTATCGTCCTGCTGAGTATGCATAGAAAGAAGACTTTCGATGAGGATTAATGAGAGGAATTTTGAATTGGATCGAAATTCTGACTTTCTTTTCACACAAGCGAATTGAATCAAACAAAATTGATTGTATCAAATATAAACTATACGATTCGATCAAGACCAGAAGAGCCCTTCTCTAAATCTATATATATATATATAAAATTCTGAATAACATTGAAAATTTTATCTATTAGGAATCTACGATGTAACATGGTTAATTATTTATATAACTTACATAATCTTATTCTTGGTACTTCCATGTCGTGAAATTGTTAATCATCAATTACCTGTTGCTTCATCACTTATTGTTTTAATTGAACAGGTGAGAAAATAAAAACCATAAATACAAATTTTAATTTTTTCTCTAGCTTCGACAATTAATGAAAACACATTCATTTATACGTGAAAATGTCGAAAAAGTTCATTTACAATGTCGTTTAATAAGCGGTTTGTGATAGGGAGCAGGAAAAAAACACCTTTTTGTTTTTATTATTCATCGTTGCTCGTGTTAATTTGAAAGCATGATTAATTTGCTATAGAATAATTAAAGTTTCATCAATAAAAATTTTTACTTATTTATTTTTGTTTTAGAACCCAATACAAATCAAAATAATGAAATAAAACAATTATCGTGTCCTGATTTTTCACAATATTTATATTTTTTATTTGCTCCAACATTAATTTATCGTGATAATTATCCTCGTAATAAAGTTATACATTGGGATTATGTTTTACAAATGTTTGGACAAGTTATTGCAGCTATATTTTATGTTTATTATGTTGTTGTTCGTTTTTGTATACCAACATTTGCAAATTTAAATCAAAATCAAATAACATTACCGATATTTATATCGGTTTTATTTAATTCAATTATGCCTGGAAGTCTTTTTCTATTATTAGGTAAAGAAAATTGATTTGAATTTTATTATTTTTGATTAATAATTTTATATAGGTTTTTATGGATTTTTACATTGTTGGCTAAATGCCTTTGCAGAAATGCTTCGATTTGCTGACAGAATGTTTTATAAAGTAAAAAAATCTTTGTTTTTTTCAAAGTAAAATTTTGATAAAAAAAAAAAAAAAAAAACTATTTTTATTTAGGATTGGTGGAATTCAACTTCATTTGCAGCTTATTATCGAACATGGAATGTTGTAGTGCATGATTGGCTTTATACATATGTGTATAGAGAAGTTTTTCTTGTAAGAATTTCATATGTATAAAATAACCGTTGAACCGAAAGTTTCGAGACAAAATACTATGACTATTTTTTCAGCATATTTAAATGCATTGGTAGTGTCTTAGAATCAAAATGTTGTGTGCATGCAGAATATATGCTTAGAATTTTTCTATGACTATTGAGTTATAAGTAAATCTTAACAGAACTCAAACAGATTTTTTGAAGAAGCAAAAACTTTATGTTTCCAAAGGCAAGTCCACATCAAATATATATCATTTGAAGTTGATCTCTACTCTACAAAATGATGTAAGAATGGAGAGTTTCAGTTAATCTGATAGAAAATGGTGGAGTTGTCACGGAAAGTCATTTTGCACTAAAATAGTGAAAATCGAACAAATAAACTTTATAAAAACCTTTATTGCACCTCAACAGTTTGAAAAAAAATGTACCGCTTTGTAGAGAATTATTTTCTGTATCTTCGAATATTTTCGATAACATTTTGTGATATATCTGGAACAAGTTCCATCTGAGATTTTTTTCCTCCCTCCAAAAAAACGTTTTTGAGTCTTTTCAAGATTCACTTATACCTCAATAGTCAAAAGTTACAGAAAAATTCTAAGCATATATTCTCAAGAAGCACAAAGTTCTGATTCTAATTCATTTAAATACACAAAAAATAATCAAATATATTGTCTAGAAATTTTTGGCCTATCCCTTATTTAGCAATGTCTGACTCGGGTTGGGTCCAGCTGTGCTTGAGTCACAAAAATTTGATCTATGTCGAACATTTTTATAGTGGATTTGAATAGAGAATTTTATTTTCCATTAAAAATGAAAATGATTGCTAGTTTTCTAAGGATAGGGTCTTTGTAAAACCAAAGTTTTCAGCTACTAAAAATTACTAATAGAATTCGGTTTGAATTATTCAGAATGATAAAGTAGGTAATACTCTTCGAAATAAAATGTTTTCCAGATTTCTATGATGTTTTTTCACCGAGATATGTCAATCTTGCGAAAGACATAAAAATCATATTTCTACGTACATATATACTATTTAAAAATTGGATCTGAATAATGAAATAGATTAACAGAATTAAATTTCTAACACTTTTATAAGTTTTTTTGCTTGCGGATTCAAAATCGGATTGTATTCAGCAAATCGTATTTGGTTCATAACTAGAGAAGTACAGCATCCAATTTTTTGGTTCCATTTCGGTAACTTCTTTTCTAGTAGTCTTGATTATGGCTTTGGTAAATCTAATCTAGTCCCGATTGAAAGAAAACTATTCCAGAATTTATTCGTATTATGTCTAAAAAATTTCTTCAATCATCGTTTTTATAATTTATTAAGTCGACGACTAAAACTTTTTTTGGATCATATCTCTTGAGTTATGTTCTGATTGATAATATTTATAAGATAATTAACTTAAAATCATAGAGTATTTAACTATAACATTTAGTTCCAATTGAAACAACTTTTTTCTTATAGTCTCAGATCCGATCTCAACAGTTTCTTTTTATCATGGTTCTGCATTTCTCTATTCATGAGTCAAATAAATTAAAAAATTGTATTGAATTGAAATCAAAACTCATAGAAAATAAATTTTCTGTGTATCATTAAATATCTTAATGAATATAGTCGGCTATAGAATTATACAAAATTTTGAAACTTTCCATAATGCACATGATATCATCTACGGTAGTGATTAATAAAATCAAGCAAAGCCTTTGAACTAACATAGTGTCAATAACTTTTGTTGTGAGATATACTTGTTAATTTGCTATAATTTTTGACATAGTATTTCATCATTGATGTTCGAAAATAATTTTTGAAAAATCTTGGCTTGTCTTATCCATTAAATATATAAATTCTATTATCATTGAACTTCAATTTAGTATAAAATTTATTATTAATATATGATTTTATTTTTAGCTTACTGGAGGAAAAAATCGTGTGATTGCAGCTATGTGTGTAGTATTATTATCGGCAACTTTTCATGAATATGTTATGATATTTGCACTTGGATTTTTTTATCCAATTATGTTTGTATTATTTGCAGTCTTCGGGAGTAAACTGATTATTAAAATTTTAACAAACAATCATTAAATATTATTATTATTATTATTTTTAGTGGGCTTTTTCTTTCTTCTACCACGAAATAAAGGTGTAGTATTTAATATACTTGTTTGGACATCTCTTTTGGTTGGTGTTGGTCTTCAATCATGTTTCTATTTTATGGAAGCTTATGCAAGAAAATCATGTCCAGCAAATGTAAATCTAATTTTATTTTTTAATGAAAATGAATAGATAAAAATTGTTTGATTGATTGATTTTTTGTTTCATTTAGGACACTTTTTGGGATAAACTAGTCCCGAGATCAATTGTTTGTCGTATGGCATTACCATCAGCTAAAATTCTACATATTGATTTGTAGTTGACATTATTATTTCAACTAGAACTGTTTTTGATTCTTTTTTTTTTCATTTAAACTGTTTGCTTTTTCCTATGTTTGACATAAAATATATTCAACAAATAGTATAGATTGCTAGTTTCGTAGGTTGATGCCGATTTATTTCAAATTATTCAGAAAACAATAATACATGAAACTTCAAACTTAAAAAAAAGGTTTCTGTGATAACCTAGCGTCCATAATTAAACAATCAATGTTTTTCTCATGATTCTATCTCAATTTTTAGACGGTTGAAAATCATACTATTCGATTGTTCAAGAACGTTTATCTTGATTTAGTTCTAATAGTACCAATAAAAAATGACAATTGACTAACGGGGGAATTCTTCCAGATGATTTATTGCTTTTGAATCGAGATTGTGTGTATTATAGAAATGGAAATGACCTATGAACACTTTGAAAAGAATTCGTGCTATTAGGTTATTGCAACGTAGATACGGTGCTTTTAGGACAGTTTTTAAATGAATACCGTGGTCTTCCTCAAGAAAACTAGTTTTTGAATTTCAACTTGAAACTTTGCATAGAGACAGACTTTAATGAGAATAGTTTCTTGAGAGGATTTCAACTATTAGTTTTCCTGAATGAGATCGAACATTTATTTAAAAACTACTGTAAAAGTTGAGTATCTCCACGACAATAAGTCACGATCAGGAATTCTTTTCAGGATATTCATAGCTCATTTGGATCTATATTATGTATATAGTTTCGACTCAAAAACGATTGAACTCTCCTTGTGAGTTTATTAGAAGAATGAATACAGACGCAATAAACTGCAATATCATATGATGAAATATACTTGATGAATACATATATTAACACTTGATTATCAATGTGAACAAGCAATTAACATGGAATGATATTCTGAAATTATATTTTCGAAAGAATGAAATCAATAAATGATGTTCTATTCATAGAAAAAATTTTCTATAAAGTCTAAACAATGAAAAAATTCCTTAACACCTTTTCTTCTATTCAGCTACCAATTTCAACACCATCATTAAACCGATATACAGGTGTAATAATACTCAATTTTCTATTGCTTGTTAACATAGCTGTCAATTGTATATCATCAACGATTTCATCACCTTTATTTTTTATTTGATTTTTTTATTCATAATGAAATTTTCTGTTTAATACTGTCTGATTTTTCTCATTTGTCTATCGATTTTATATGAATATCTAGACAGTGGAATCCAATTAACAATAAATCGTAATATTTTATTAAACAATAACAATAACAAAAAAAAAACAGAAAAAGAAAAAAAAGCACATTTATCTACCTTTTTTCAAATTCAAGTAGATATTGTATAATAGTTCTATTATGTCCACAATAAGCTGCTAAATGTATTGGTAGCCAACCATATTTATTTACTGAATAAACTGAAGCACCATATTCTAATAATAAATGTACAGCATCAGCATGATTTCGAAGAACATAACGATGAAGTAATGTATTATCATCATTATCAAGCTTATCAAAAAGATTACTACGCATAATTATTGTTTGTCGTTTTAATAATATTCGTGCATCATCAAGATTATTTGTATCAAGTAGATACATTAATCGATTAAAATCACATGTAGAATTCGTCGTCATACAACATTACGAATAGTAATATTAAATGAGAATAATAATTCTATGGTTGATGGTGATAGATTGGCATTGAAACGAATATGAGAGAGGTCATTTGCCTTTTCTTTTCGTTTTTTTTTCTTCTTTCCTATCGATATTTATATTCGATTTGAAGGTAAAGAGAGAAAAGAGGAAGGAAGAAATACGATCAAATCTTTTTTTCTTCTTTCCGCTATTATATTGGTCAGCTGGCGATAGCTGTTGTTTTTTTTTTTGACTATTACCCACAACCACCACCATCTATAATCAGATTCATCAACGATGAGAGATAGCAAACAGCGATAATTCCAATATACGAACATTTTTTCTTTTCCCACCATTGATATTGACGCGTGTTCATAATCGTTGTTGACAAGCGATTGCATGTTTGTTTGAACAATTCGATTGCTCACGCGTGGATTTTGAATAAAAAAATCTTTTTTTTTTTTTGTTTCAAGGAAATATCATTATCATAGAATGAAGTATATGCATTGTATTATGATTCTTTGATCTTTAAAGTTTTTTTCTTCTTTTCTTTTAATGGATAGAGAATAAGTGACTATTGAGATCAAGTGATGGGAAAATAGAGCAATGACGCCAAGTTTGATGGTTAGCGGGTGGTTAAATGATACATGAAAAAAAGACAATTCGTTGCTCAGTTCATCGAATAGATATTTCATTAAAGCTTTGATGTTATTGAAAAAAAAAACATAGTCTGATAAACGAGACATTGATTATAGGACAAGATGAAATTTATATATTTATTTATTGATATTTATAATAAATAATCTAATTTAGTGTAAATGAAATTTTATTTTTATTTAGATAAATTCTTCTAGATTTGAAAATTTTCTTGTTCATTAATTGTTTTTTTTTTGGTCTATTCAGAATTTCACATATGTTTATATGAATATAATACGATTTTTCCTCGTTAAGTTAATGTATTCATTTATTTAAAAAAAACATGAAGGAACGTCATTCATAATAAATGTTTATAGAGTCATATGGCTTTTTAAATATCTTAATACTAATGATAATTCGATTTTTCTAAGCATAAGTATTTAATAAAGCTTCTTTGAATAATAATAGATCTATACACACTAGTCACCAGATGCAAAAAACTGGAAAAAGGTATCTCGTATTTTCTAGACGACCCGACAGACCATTCATTTGAATGAATAATTAAATAGGATGTCTGAAATTTAATAAGAGAAATAATTTATTATACACATAAGAGTCTGTCTTAATATGAAGAAAGTAACGGTTGGGACTATTTTCTGAAAATTTCTACATGCTTGATTGTATAGATAAAAAGGTTGATGTACTTTCACTTTGTAATGTTATTTGATTGTGTATATAATCTTATTTAATGTCTTTTTATCTGCTGTTATACTATTAGATTATCGTAATTTAATATAATTTTATCGTTCTGTTCGAATTCTTCACTTTCATTTCGTTCAAATATTTATTTGTAAAACACTTCTAACTTTGATACTGTTTCCCATACATTTAAATATTCATACAAAATTTTATTAATATATTCTATATAAAGCTTATGAATTTTTTTCATATTGCTATCAAGATATAGAGAAGAATAAGCATAAAGTCTCTATTTGAATTTTATAATTTTTATACGTCAATAGAATTTGGACAATTTTATGCAACATACACTCGATATAATATAAATTGTAAGATGTATATATATATATTGTAGGTAAAGTTAGAATTCTAATTTTGCCTGAGTAAGATTAAAATTCGATGAGGGATAAATTCATACAATCAAAAGAATTAAAATCTGAGTAGAAAAGCTAGTTTTTTAGGCTTGCATGTAATTGCTCAGTATTTTATAAAGAATGTTCACGAGGAAACTACCCGAATTGATACTCTCCGTTTGAGCTCTATTGGATTCACAAGAAGGTCTCGGTAAGACTAGAATAATCTTAAAAGACTTCATGCTCATGGACCTCTGCAGCCGAGTTATAGCCGTTTTACTAAATTGTCGGATCTAGCCGTAGGTATTTACCGAAAAAATCAAATAAAGGAATTTCGACTTGAAATTTTAGTCATAGATGGGCCTGATGACTTTAGGAATATCCTGAAACTTTCAAGATATTCTATGAATCATTAGACCTGTTTATAAGCGAAATTTGAGATTGAAATACCTTTATTTTATTTTTCGGTAAATACGTAAAGTTGGACTAAAAATGCAGTAAAACGGTCATAACATGACTCTAGAGGTCCATGAACACGAAGTCTTTCAGGATTTTTCTAGTCTTACCGAGACTTTGTTGTGAACTTAATATGAACTTAAACGGCGAGTACAAATTCAGATAGTTCCCTTGTCAGTATGTTGTTTATCACAGGCTCAGTAGTTTTTGCTCAGTAAAAGAAAAATTAGTTATAGCACAGTAAATAGTTTGAAAAGCTCAATAATTAATTTACAAAACACTCACTATTTAAGTGTGTGGGCCTCGGTGTCGGTCTTCTTGACATCAGCACCCACACCCAAAAATGACTAATTTACTGATAATTCGGCTATAATGATGAGTATTTAATTTGTTCTCTTTTTTTTATTCAACCATATCTTTTTATTTCACTCAATAATTTACAAGACAATATATTTTTATCTATTCATTCATATTTTTACAAAACACTTCGTTTTAAATGCCATTGTGTTGAATAATACACTCATTTTTTACACGAGCAGTTTTTTTGTAGATCGCTTGTCTTTACAATCGCAAATGCGATCGGTTGTTGATTACGATTCAGACATTTTTTTTATGAGATTATAACGGATACATCTATATTTATATCCCTTATTGACATGAACGCTACAGTTAGATTTTCTCTTTTTTTCATTCGAATCTATTTTAGTAAAGCATGTAATCGTATGAATTGATTTCTAGTTGAATTCGAATTTATTGGAATTTCAGTTCTAATCGATGAGTTAGAATTCTAAACTTGCTTACAATATATATGTATATATGTAGGTATACACCCAAGTCTCATAATAGAATTTCTATATTTCAAACTCATCTTATTGATTATGAACCATATCAATAAACTATCGCACTATAAATATAGAAAGATGTCTGCCTTTGACAACCAAATGGACAATCATCCTATGAACCGTTGTGTTAAATAAGAGATTGGCTCGAGCACGTAGTCTAACAATGTTGCCAAAATATCTCTTTTAACATTCTGCAGTATCATTTTCCTACGTCAATTTTCTATCAATGAAAACATGTGGTTCAGTAGATAAGAGTATTTGCCTTCATTCAGATTAAAACGACTCAAACCGTTTGGGTATATGCCCGTGAATATGCCTAAAAACTTTGAAGCACCTAATTTACTAATCAAAGATGCTTTACTTCTTCGATCATGATACTGAATAATAAAAAAATATTAGCAATAAAAAAAAGCTCATATTGATTTCATTGTAAAGAACTAGACATTGAAAGGAAGTCTTTTCATTTTCTAATAAGTTTCGATAAACTTCTAAAATATTTAAAGATTTAGTTTCTAAAGAAAAAATCAATGTAAAAAAATTAACTAACCGATGATCGGAAAGCATTGCAGACGAGTCAAAAAACTGAAGGTTGCGACTATAAATGTCGTGTCTATTTTTTTTAAGAGTGGTGAGGAACTCCTTGAAAGACCCAAAAAATTATTCTTAATAGTGAATCAACAGATTTTTGTTAAGCCCCTTTTGGAACATGTTAAGAATTGTTGGAGTCGGTTGTTTTGTAGAGCGAACATTTCTCTACACAATGTGATATTGACCCAAGTTGTAACTTTTACTCTAGCATTTTTTCAAGAGCTCCTTTCAAAGTAAAACGGTTGTCGATTTTTCAAAAATGAGCGTTTAGAAAAAACGAAAATTGATGTGTTTTCTCGAAAGACAAACAAACTTCAAATCGTGCATTTTGATGGGAACTTCTGATCTCAAGCACATATACAAAATAAAGATTTCGACGTGTAGTTTCGAATCGCAACAACAAAGATATAAAATTTTTTCGTCAAAACTAAGTTTTCGGCCTTTCAAAGATTAACTCATTACTCTCGAACAAAATTTCTAAGCCCATATTCGAAAACAACACAAAAATTTGGTCATAACTCATAGATTTTGGCTTGTAGTGTAATCAGGAAGGAGCTCAGTCTTACTGCCTGCAGTTTCACCTTATTCGCCGAATTTTTAAATCAAAATAGATGAAACTCATTCAGAACATCTTAGTCCGAATCTTGGATTATTGAAGGTGTATATGTAACTATGGATTGAAAGCACATGAAATCTAGTACATCAAAAGTAAGAACTATTACGTCTTTCTTTTCACCGTTCTCATCGAAAAAAACAAAAGTTAAGTGATCAAGGCTCTCACCTGTCATTCACATCTATAGAAACATCAAATCTGTTGTTTACAGTTGATTCAACTAACAATATACATGCTAATACAACTGCTAAATACGATTAATCTATATCAACATTAACATTATCAACAGTGCCAATATCTTTATTTGTATTACTTATTGATACTAGTCATTCAATTAGCTGTTCCACTACCACAACTATTTTCACCGCCATTAACATTCGTAATATACTTAACATCCTCATTATTATTATTATCTATTGATATTAGTTATTTATCAATTGATCCATTTGAGCGGTTTTTGTCTGTTAGCAGTTGAACATAATATCGTGATTACTTGTATTTCGTGAAAACGCCAGTGATTATGGCAGAAAAAAATAATTTTTCAAAAATCGGCAATAAATCAGACTGATCAGTCGAATTTAATCACGAATTTCAGTAACAGATTGCGAATCGTCAATTAATTAGAGAAATGTTTCGAGTCTGTAAAATTTGAAAGTCAAATATCATTTCTACACACTTTTTAAATATAATCATTGGAATATGAAACCAAAATAAAAAGTCTAGTGTCAGCAGAAATATCACTACTATGATATTATAACGAGATTGAACTATTTTAGAAAACGATCGAGATAAAATTCGCATTCACATTCATTTATATCAACAGTTATTTTTTTTTGATCAACATAGATAATTTCAGATGTTTTGAGATCAAGTCATTTTTCAATTAGAACTTGATTTCTATCGCCATTCTTTTAGTTCTATTTTTTAATTATAATTTCTACTCTTTACTACATTTTTGAATATATGAACATTTTTTAAATTTTTTTTCCTATCTTTTTCGATTATGTTCTCAAGTGGAATTGCATGTCACATTGGTTTTTTTAAAAATTTTTATTGGATGTTTTATTCATGTAGAATAAAGTGAGCACACAATTTCTGAATAAAAATATTTACCATCATAAATTACTAAAAGGCATATAATAGTAGAAATCAAAGTTACATAAATCAAATTACATCGATTATAGATATAATGCAGGATAATTATCGACCAGGAAAATCGTTGATTTATCACGTTTCAGTTCATGATCATCGTTTGGATATAACACGATTAATAGTAAATTTCTCAGTGTTTTCGAGGACACAAGGGATTATATTCAAATAAATAGCTATCTTTTTTATTTTCATGATATTTTGTTCTTATATGCACACATAACCTTTTAGCTACGGTGCGATTTTAGCTTTTTAGAATCGAGCAATATCAATTCGACGTATATAAAAATGATTAACATCTGAAAGAGGCCAACGACAAGCTCAGCTACCACACTTAAATTTCTGGCTATATCACTACTTTTGACCTGTTGAACATACTTCAAAAGTGAATAAACATCTTGTATAAAAACTTTCCGATCACTTGTTATTGATAATAGTGTAATGCAATTACTCTCTGAATAGATGTCAGTGGTTAACATTTATTTGTACTTCCATTGTCACGTCTAAGTCTATGATTTGTTGTCCATAAAATATTATTAAGCTTTCACCAACGAAACAATTATTTATTCTCAATAGTTCAGTTTATAATAGCAAGTATCATGTTACGTCTTTAAGTCGATTTTGTTCATATCACTTCTTATTATATATTCATATTAAGTATGAACTTTCTCATTCAAAAATCTAACATCTTTTGTTTTATTTGATTTTGATTGATTATATTCTTTAGATATATATATATATTATTACATAACAATCAGAATACAGTTTGAAAAATTAACAAAATTATTTGATTCAAAAATTTTACTATGTCGTTTGTGAAACAAGAAAATTCTGAATTTCGTAAGTTTTACTTATTTAAAAAAAAAGCACTCTGCCTTTATTCAATATTACTTTTGTTGTTTTCTTAAATTCATTCCACATATATTTTTTTGTAGTATATTCAGATTAATATAATTTATTTTTGACTAATAATAGAATAACAATTATTTAGTATATATATTACTAAAATTATCATCATCATAAATGTTCTTGTTTTTCAAGCTCACTTTAGATGAGTATTAAAGCTGAAAGAATAAACATAGATATTGATATTTGTATCATTGAAGCAAAATTACATGAATGACCTAAGAAAAAACATTTTGTTTTTTTGTTTTTAAAACTTAAATTTATTTTTAATCTCACCTTCACAACAAGTATCAAGTTGATATTGAGGTTCATTTGAACTATTGACTAATTTACTCATATAATTCTCTGCAAACCAATTCGTAATATTCTAAAAAAGAAGTTTATTTTATTCAAGAGAAATTGTTATTTAAGAAAAAAACAATTAATATCTTACAAATTTTTGATTATCATCTAATTTTCCTGAAATATTTATATCTTTAAACATTTTACGTGCAGCATCTTTTGCTTTTTTCATAATATTAGCTAATTTTTTTCCAATATCAATTATTTTTCCTAACCAACTTTTATCTTCTGAACAAAGACCTTTACCCATCAATAAACAACCACGATGTTTATCTTTCGATATATAACATACCTAAAATTATTTTTATATTATTATTATTATTATTAATATTTATAAGATTTGTACCCATCGAGTAAGACTATTCCATGATGGCATAACTGATGCATTTAAACCAATTTCATTTATACCAAAACTATTTAAATCTGCTGCAAGTTTACCATAAATATTATCTGCATTTGTTCCTTCTAAAGCACCATTAACAAATTCTTTTCCACTAGTTTCTTCAGTTTGATCATCAGAACAAGTTTTAATATCATTTGCAGTAGGATATTCACAAGCTGCTTTTTCACATATATAACATTTTTGAGTAAGATAATTCAAATCAATAGAATTTATGCTAATAATATTACATAGAATAATGATAATAAGTATTTTCATCATTGCAATTGATTAACACGTTTTACTTGATTATATACACCAATAATGTTTGATAAGAGATAGTGATTAAGTTTTATTGGCGCGAAGTAAGACGCTGGAAATACAAAATTAAAGTAGAAGTGTTATTTTTTTCTTTATATATAATTAGATATAGCGTGACAAATTGATTAAGAATATGTGGGTTTTCAATTTTTTAGATTTAGCATGAAAAATTGAATCTAGGAAACTCATTTATGTAAATGAGTCATGCTAAATCTAAAACAAACAGTTTTGAAATTTAGACGAAATGAAAAAGTTGACTTGTTTTTAGAAAAAACTGAAAATTTTTCTTCCTAAAAAAATTCAAAATACACATATTCTTGATCAACTTGTCACGCTATATCTAATCATATATTAAACAAAAGAAAAGGTTCTACTTATGCATTTTTAGTATTTTGCAAAAGAATGAAATGTACGTGCACTTTATTTAAAGAATTTTATTTTTACTTTCTTTTTTTCTTTTCTAGATATGAATTCAAAGAATATAGGTGATGATAATCATGGAGAATATATACAGTATCCAAGTCAATCATCTCAAAGTCCTATAACAGCATTTTTAGCTAAATTATGGGCACTTGTTAATGATTCATCATGTGATGATCTTATTGCTTGGGATCCATCAGGTGGATCATTTCATGTTTATGATCAATCACGTTTTGCACGTGAAATTTTACCAAGATATTTTAAACATAATAATTTTGCATCTTTTATACGTCAATTAAATATGTATGGTTTTCGTAAAATGTCGACTATTGAACATGGTTCATTAAAAAATGAGAGAGATGATATTGAATTTGCACATCCAAATTTTATTAGAGGACAAGATTCACTTTTAGAATTAATCAAAAGACGTGCACCAGAGACTCAACAAAAACCTAATTTACAAGGAGGTATTAATGATACATTCTTTTTTTTCTTGTTATTAACAAATGAGTGTATTCATAAGAAAAAACAATGATTTTTTTTTGGTTATTTAAGGTTCCAATCCATCATCTGCACTTGTTTCAGCAAATTATCTTGACTCAGTATCAAATCGTTCTATAGAATTAAGACATTTACTTGAAGATGTAAGAAATTTACAAACAAAACAAACATCATTAAGTGATAAATTATCATATATGCAAAGTGAAAATCAAGCATTGTGGGGTGAAATTGGTTCATTGAGACAGAAACATTCTAAACAACAACAAATTGTTTCAAAATTAATGGAATTTCTTTTACATATTATTACAACAAACACATCACAATCCAATGAACAATTAGTTGAACAACAAATACCAAATGAAGTTCTAACTCCTCATTCAATTCAACCAGAACAAGCAGATACTTCAAATCATATAAATAATGTACCATTAATATTAAATGAACAAGTTTTATCGCCTCATACACTTAAACGTAAACAAGCTGCACTTATAAATAATGAAGAACCAAATAAACGATCAACTATGCAACAACAACAACATCAACAATTTTCACAACCAACTAATTTTGGTCGACAACAAAGTGTAACAATCAATGAATTAGCAGATAATGATACAAGTGGATGGTTTCAAACAACGAATGCATCACCATTGATTGATCTTGTTCCATCACCACCACCATCAGCACCAAGTTCAGATGATATCTATCAACAACAACAACAACAAAATGACTATCAACTGTCAACTCCAACAAATGAATTTCTTAATCCTATTCTACATGATCCAAGAAATCGTACACAACAAAACCAAACTTTTCCAACAGTTACCAATGAAGATAAGATAGCAAATACATATACACCAGATTTTATCTTGTGTACAGATGGTACTAATGGAAAAAATATAAATATTGGACAGACACCTGGAATAAATTTAACTGGTATTCAAACGGTAATAATTGAATATTATATAATATTCATCTTTTTAGATCTATAATAATTTATTTTCTATGACAATAAATATATATTTCATTTAGATAGATATTCAAATAGTATTTATACTTGTTTTACTTTTTTAATGGAGAAAAATTAACACTACCAAGAGAAATCCTCCAACTGAGTAATCGCTGTTGAGTCGAGACTATATGCATTATATAGTCCTAAATGAGCTATGAGTACTCTGAAAAGAGTTTGGATCTTTAGCTTATTACTACGGAGATAGCATATATCAACAATTCGAATGATAGATTTTCAACCTGAAATTCTGATCACAGACAGGTCTATTTCAACTCGAAAGAATTTTGTCTTTCTGAGATATTAAAATCTCCAGAACCACTTATATACCACGAAAGATGCTAGAATTTTCTGTTTTTTTTGTAACTTCAATATCTCGGAAAGAAAAAATTCTTTTGAGCTGAAATTCTTAAGAGATTCTACTGACAAATAGACATATCTGTGATCGAAATATCGTCATTCGATTTATTGATATATGCCATGCCAGAGCCTAAAATTCTAATCAAATGCTTATAGCTCGGAACAGAAAGTCTCAGGAGACTTATTCTTTTGAGTTTTTTCATATCTCACTGAAGTCTAGTTTGCATAGTTCGATTTCAAAAGCGATTTATCAATTGACGAAATTTCCTCTGACATTCATCATTATCAGATATAAGAATTATGAATTTTCTTTGAATGGATTAAATTGAATTGTTTTATAATTATTTGTCGATTCATTTATATGTAAATCTAAATTTTTATTTTGTTTCATACGCCGAAAAACAAATCCAAATAGTTTTCTTAAATCTCCGAAATAAATATTTCAGTTTGCTATAGTTTCTATTATATAATTATTGCAAAACCAAAAAAAAAATTTCTTTTCTTTTTTAGTCTCATGGGGACTCAATTAAAAAAATTTCAATTCCACTATTATTAAAAGAAGAACATATTGAATTTCCGAATGCATTTCAACAAAATCAACATAATCCAATAGATGAACTTGAAACATCTCCAACATTAAATTCAACATTATATTCTCAAAATCAACAAGCAAATAAAATAGATCCACCTTCAGCACAAATTAGTTTTTCATTAGATGATATAACAGGTGATGTTGATCATATTCAATCATCACTTGATAGTATTCGTGAATTAATGTTTGATAATTTACCTGAAGGTACATCGATTGAAGATTTATTTGGTGATGATAATGGATTACTTTTACCACTTTTACAATCAACAACAAATGATAATCAAACTGGAAATTTACTTTTAGAAAATCTTCCAGAACAAACATCAAATACAGGTTCATAAACGAATATGGAATTAAAAGATTGTATCGGATAAGACGATGACCTTTCATTTGAAAAGCTATCTATATTACTTGGTAGAACAACTTGTGACGCATCGAATTGTATATAAGGAATTGCTTTTTCATCAAGTTTTAATATTATGAAAAGCCATGTATCAGTTAAGGGATATTACACAACAATTTTGGGTGATATGACCAAATATCTGCCGATCCATCCTTTAAAAAAAAGCCAATTTTTCGATTCCTAAAAGTAGAAAAGTATATGATTTTTACGATAAATACTTTTTGAATGAAAAAGTTCCTATCTATTAATAGAAAAGCTCATCATGCTCTATTATTTGACATATATGGCTCTTTCGAAAACGACAAAAAATTTTTCACTTTCGGATCTTTGGAGAGATACGAGAATATGCAAAATTTTTAATTATCACAAGAGATCAAACATATATTGAATCAAATAGAGCTCCATAATTTAATCACATCCAACTGCCCCGAATCTAAATTCGTAAGGGACAAAATTGAACATAAACTAATCATTTTAATAGTACATTCTCGTACTCCCCTCCAGGGTTCTGGAAGCGAAAACTTTTTTTTGTAATTTCAGAAGATCCATATATATCAAATAACAGAGTATGATAAACTTCTTATTAATAAATAGAAAATTTTCACTTGAAAAAGTATTTATCACAAACCTCATACTTTTCTATTCTTAAGTATATCACCAAGAATTATAATAATATTCTTTAACTGATATATAATTTCTCAGAACATTAAGGCTTTATAAAAAAATCAACTTTCCACATACCATTCAATACGCCATGAGTTGCTCTACAAAGTAGTTTAGATAGCTTTTCAAATGAAGAATATTCATCTTATCCGACAACGTCCTGTATTTCATATTTATTTTTTTCTTAGGTAATAATAATTTTGAACCAATCGAAACAACAATAAATTCTCAATCTGTTCCAAATATTAATAATCAATTATTTGAACAATTAATAACAGAAACAGCTATAAATGAAGAACAACGTAATACAATAGAACACTTAGAACGTGAAAAATTGAATTTAACAGATAAAATTCATATACTCGAAAAACAAGCAACTGAAAGAAAATAACAATAATATTTAATTTAATACAGTTTTTTTTTCTTCTCTTTTGTACATTTATTATTTACATGATTATGTTTTCATTTTCTTGGTTCACTTTTTTGTTTTTTTAGACAGGAAAATAAGCATTATATCTGTTTCTTAATCTTTTTATTCTTTCTTTCTAGCCTAGCAACGTGCGCGTATTTATTTGTTGTGGAAAAAAAATACAAAATTCTAATGGTTCATCAAAGAATGAAGATTTATTTCAATTTAATATTTTACCGTTATAATCGGCAATTGTTGTTGTTGTCTTTGTTTATGTCTTTTTCCACATTCTTTTTTTTTGCTTTATATTGATAATAAAACAAACAATCAAGCAATTTTATCTTATATCAAAAATATAACTTGTATAGATTTAATGAAATTTGATGTCTAGTGTAATAATTATATACATAGAATATATTAAAATATATTATCAGAATAGAAAAAAAAAAACAAGCATCTTTCTTTAACTTCCGTTCTGTAATAACAAAGAATAATAAGAAAAGCAACTGCTAATATATTCAGATTTTTCATCCGGTTATTTCATGATAAGAAGAATTATTAGATGTTTCTATATAAATCATCTGTGCATCTTTTCTTTTAATACAAACAAATCCATAATTCATGTATAGGCAAAAACAGGAAGATGATATAAATGGGTCCTGAGATATAACAAATTTATTAATGGTTGTTTTTTTTTTGTGTTTTTTCATTGCACAATTGAAGAAGAAATAATAATAACGACTTAGACATGTATATACATAAAAAAACGATAACAGACATAGGGCTACATTCGATTAAAGTATTCAAATAAAAGTACATGCAATAATTTTTTGTCTGTTGTTTTTTTATCTGATGCATAACATATAATCAAATGTTGATAAAATAAAATAAACAACAAAATTAAATTAGCTATGCTCATTATTATCATTAATGATTCGTTGCTTTGTCAACAAATGGATTAACGATTGTTGATGTAGATGTGGGTGGTGTTAAACCAAATGAAAAAAACCGTCCAAAGAAATAAGCACCGGTATTAGATGATGGTGAATCAGGAATATCAATAGATGATGATGCGTTGGAATGATTTTTTTGTTGAGCTTTTTCTTCAGTTGCACGACAAATAGTAAAACAATAATTCATTGAAGCCATTTGGTTTGTTTTAAATATAGTTAACGACGATTCAAGTTATCGTAAGATATGAGAATGAAGTGCTTAATACACCAATGTATTTATATGTTTGTGATAGGGTCAAGGTGCATGATTGTCAGTGTAGATTTTCACAAGAACACGCAAGCAGCGAATGATATTAGCGTGTTTTTTTCTATCAGAGCAATTAGAGTACGGCTGATACGTATGTGAGCAGAACAGATGTGCCTCCTCTTTTTTCTCTCTTTTGTTCGTCGACCTATATAAGAAAAAGGAAGAGAACGGATTGATACACATAGTTGTACGAAAAACAAAAAGAAATCTAATGAAGGACGAGGCTATCAATTTCTACGTTGTTTCTTTTTCTTTTAGTATGTACGTCGGATAGGTTTACGCAACAAAAAATGTCACGATAACACAAAACAACTAACTACTACGCATCATGTACTTAGAGAATAAATGAAAAATCTGATCAATTATATCTTGAGTCTGATTATTTGATTTGAAGACAAAGTACAAAAAAAAATGTATTCACGTGTTGTAAATGGCCTTTCTTTCTATATAAAATAAATAGAGACAGCGACCTTATGTGAAATTATTTGAATATTTACTAACAACTTTACGCATTTAATTAAATACAAATACTAACATCTTAGAAAATGATAATTAAAGTGTTAAATATTTATATTAAACTCGATTAATGAATTCTGAACAAAAAATTCATATTTGTCCTTGTAAATCAATGGCATTTTACGTTTTATAAATAGAACCAATTTATTATAGTAAATGTCGTTTTTAACTTAAAAATATAAGTAGTTTTTTCCTGTCATATTGATTTGATCAAAAAGGCTGTTCAAAATAATAAAAACCTCTTATTATGTTTCTCTCAAAATTGTTTATACTGATTGACTGATTTGTTGAAATTTATGAAAATATAATTGATGACATCAAACAAAAAAAAGTAGTACACTATTCTTACAATTTGCTAAAACTAATTGATATGACAAACACGATTCATAGAAATAATAGTATTCTTCTCGTCATTATCCGTATGAATTAAGACGACTTTATTCTGCAAGTACTCTTTAATTTGTCCTTGATGTCTCAACACAAATAAAAGAAAAGAGCTACAATAATTTCATTCTTTCATTTACAATCATCAACTTCATCAATAATAACCAATTATTCTAGAAATTTGCTCTTTTTATATAGTTTTTACATCGATATAGTTGCTCGACATGTTGTCGTAGATGATGTTCACTGATGTGTGATTTTTTTCTTGTTGTTCGATAAAGCTCCGTTGAGATTCCGTCATTCATACGAATGTATTTAAAGTTAAAAATAGACTTCCACCTTCGGCCTATTGAAAAACCAATGTTAAAAAAACATGAGACGAGCCAAACAATAGTCTTATAATAATTACAGTCAATTAGTCTAACAAAATAAAAAAGAGATCTGGCAAGATATATGACGTTACTAGTGGTGATTAACTTAAATATTGCTGTTCAAATAGATCATGTCACGCAACAGTAGACAAAAAAACAAAAGCTAAAGAAAGTTAAGAATACGTGCAGAAAAATGAATGCACATATAAAGACAATGATATAACCGAAGTGTTAGTCAGTCGAGGAGAAAAAAAATGAGATTGAGATAGTGGATTGAATACATTGACAGTATTTGGGAGCGAAATGATTGACACTATCATCATGTACGCTCTCTCGCTCGAGTATTAGTCGAAGAAAAAAATAAATCGAAGATGAAAAGAGGACAGAATAACGAATGGAAAAAAGAAATATTCCATACATCTTCTTTTGAGAACGTGATCATACTATGTTTTATGCTCTCTTTCTCAAAAAAAAAAAAACCGATGCTTTCATAGAATTTATTCTTTATAAGATGTTAATAAACACGACCACTTTTTTGTCTTCTTCTAACCTTTTTACCAATTTGATCGACAGCTAGTTTTCTGTGTAAGCAATTAATTATCACTGTTTATCATTTTGTTTTCCATACAACAGTATTGTCTATTTGTATGTTGTTCTTTATATCATTTTTAGATAAGACATATGGCGAGCAGTAGTAGACGTCGACTAAGTTTTGTTGATTTTCCTGATCCACAAGTATGGCATAAATTGATTGAATATGCTGAAGTGACTATTACTTTTACTAAATTGAGTTAATAATATACAAAAAAAAAAATCTTGTTTTCTTATATTTAAATAATTAATGATAATTTAGTTACTGATTTTACAAATCAATGGGCTAAAATATGTTTTTTGGCATCATCTCAATTACATCAACTTGTAAGTGATTTTCGTAAAAAAACTGAAACGGAAATTCGTGACAAGTATGTTTTTTATTATAATTAATAAATAATTAATAGATTTAATGTTTTATTAGATGTCATTTACGTGGTAGAATGTACGATTTGTGGGAATCATTATTACTTGAATCTGAATTAGAATCACAGGTAAATAGAAATAAAAGAAATATATGTATTTTATAATTGTTGTTAATTTTTTTTTATTCCTATGTATTACATAGTCTTTAAAAAAAATGGCATGTTTAATGGAAAAAGAAATTTGTACACCATTAGCAAGTTTTATAACAAATAAAAGTGTTGAATTATCTGTAAATAGACAACATCGTTGTGATCTTCATGAAATATTAGAAACAAGTCATGCTATTGTTCAAGATGTAAGTTACAACAGGTGTTTATTTGTTTTTTTTCTTTAATCAACAAAAATTAGATATAATTAGAGTCTTTTGCTTCATTAAACATTTTTTTTTCTTGTCGTGTCAATTTCTTTGAAGAAGTGATTAATAAAAGACAACTAGATTTTTTTTTCTATAATTTCATCTAATAATACTTTCAAATTTATATGACACACCAATTGAAATAAGTGAGAGTATAAAATATGTTCGATTAGATTTTGTCAATTAACTTTATTCTCTCGATAAATCATTTTGAATATGAAAACTATTCATTGATAGTATCAATTTATTAAGTAAAAAAAAAAAAGAAGCTTCTAAGAGTATTATCGAGAGAACTGTTAGAATTGTTGCATAGAATATTAAGAAAAAGAAGACATATAGATATTATAGAAAAATCCGCCCTTAACTGTTTGACCTTATTGAATCAACAATTGTCAAATGAATTCACGTTACAACTCAATTTAAATATTTCGTTATTTTTTCTCTTCTTCTTCTTCTTCTTTTATCAATCAATAATTGATTTTAGTTCTTCTCTTTGCATCAACTAAATATACTTATGTGAATATATGAGAATTAATTAGAAATAAATAGAAAAATAGACGAGAATAATTAACGTCAATTTGACACAATTAGTTTTTTCGATTATTTTAGTTGCAAGAAGGATATGCAACGATATACAATGATTCTGGAGTTACACCTGAATTTCATCATGCTCATAATCAATATGTTATTGAATTGGTTGGTGCCAATGGTCTTTTATCAAAATATCAATATTATGTTTTACCACAACTTCTTCAAGTAAAAAAAAGCTATGTTCATAAAAGAGTTCAATATATAAACAGTTTTTTGCAATTAGGGAATGGAACAATCACAAATTGATGTTATTGATACAGTTTGTCAAAATTTACAATTATTTGCTTCTCTCATAGAAAATTATGTAAGTCAAAAAAAGAAAAGATAGTAAAATTTTGTTAACATATATGTCGAACTTTGTAAAGTGACAATTTTTAATAATATTTATTTGATTAACATAGTTTCATTAGCATATTCGTATTAAAATGGATTCGCTAGATTATTAAAAAAAATAAAGTATCATGAATTTAAAATATCTATTTTGAAAGATTTTAGTTTTAGTCAATTCAAAAACCCATAGATATAATAGCAACACATGTTATCTTTATATTAGAGCAATGTACAATAATAACAGGAAACGGGGAGGCTTATTTAATGAATAAAGCGAAAATTAGATTCAGCAAAGATGCATGCGAATGTGTTTATGAGACTCACATCATAGTAAAACATTAGCGTTTTAAAGAATCTACATTCAAACTTATTTTTTATTCAATTTCGAGTTTTAAATGTCATTCAATAAACCTTATAATTACTGATATAATTCTCTCGCTAGATATATGTTTAAAAAAACTTCAAGAAACTTTTGAAAACATCGAATAAATCATTTGAACTGCATACAAGATAATTATATTATATTTTAAGAAAGATTTTTGAAAAATTAAATTAGTAAAAATTTAAACCTTGATATACACATACATTTCATGATATATTTTTAAACATAATTATAGATATCCAGGTTATAAATAATCACACATCAGATCTTTTAAGGTTAGATGAAATTGTACTCTAAAATTCTTGAAAAATCTTATTGTCACATAAGATTTCTTATCATTTTATAATGACATCCTACAAGGCCGCATAATTTTTCAAGAATCTTATAATAGGACATTTTTGTTCTATTTCTGTCTGATATTATAAGCTAAACTTATCATCTTGTAAGATCTTATCATTTAATTGTTTGGGTTTGATTACTACAACAACTGTACTAATCTTTATTCATATATCAAGAATCACAAGAATAATAGAATTGAGAACAACTGTTGCTTATATGTTATTATCCAATATAAATACACACTATTTTTACTTAATTTTTCATTAGAGTTATTAATAATAATGAATCAATAGTTGCTTTGTAATCATCGTATATTTCGTAGATTTTTTAAATGTACTCTATAATTTCCTATTTTTCAAATATTTTTCCCTATAGATTCTTACAGTGAGAGGTAAATTGATTTTATCCTCTCTTCTTTTTATTTTTATTAATATGTCTCGTTTATTTTTCAACATATTATAAATGGCGAGAAGGAATGAAATGCATCACATCTTATAATAGATTCGCCTTGAACAAAGAATAAAGCTGTACTGGAAAAAAGGCAAATGTTTTTTTTTCAACGATGTCTATTCATATCTAAATCTTTACAAAAGAAATTTATAGATTTATCATTAGCGTTAGTCATAATAGACATATATCAGTTCTTACGATATGCACTACGAAATCCCTGGGGGGTTCCAAATGAATGTAAGGCGGATAATAAAAGTAACCAGAAGCTTGTTATGCCTAATTGAAGTACACATTAGCCTGAGACGGAATATGTTGAAAGCTATTCTTATAAATTAAGTCTATCTCCAAGCAAAACATACACATGTAATTATGAAAAGAATGTTAATGTTGATGAATAAACAGATAAAAGAAAAAGACACAAACATATAGATTAGAAGAAAAAATAATTGAAATGTTCTGTTATGCACATCAATATAGATGATAAAGAAATGTGAAATAATTTGCAATCCATTCTTTTTCAATTTTCTATAGACAAAAATAGTCTTTACCTTATTATAGTTAGATTCGAAAATATAAATTCTATATAATTATAAACTGTAATGCAGCGCATTTCGTACTTTCTCGCTATATATCGGAAACCGAATCGAACTGGATTTCGTTGGTTCAATTCTAGTAGCTCTAGTTTATGAGTAGACGATAGGTTAGAACTTCCATCTCTGACGATTAGGATGTCACACTAAAGTCAATATTAGTATAAATCAATACAGTTTAATACATTTGTGGATTAAAATAAAGTTTTTAGTATTCATGCGTAATTATTATCAGTCTGTTTTTAGTGTTAATACACATAATTTTCATACAGATAGAGACGATTATTCATCGCAATACAGAAAAATGGAGAAATTTAAAAGAGAAGAAAATAAAAGACTAATGTGTCATAAACACAACAAGTGTAACTGTTTTGAAGTGACAAAAAAGACTGTGTTAGATGAAAATTAAATTAAGGATGTCGAACGATCGATCAAAGCTCATTTTATCTTCGCCGATCGCATTACACTTTTACAAAAACCGGTTACACTTCAATCAATTATTGTTTCATTTGAGACTTGACTCCGCTCGACTATCTTTTTGACAATTAGTTTGAGTTCAGTTCGATTGCGATCTCTGCTACATATAATATGTTGAAAATTAAATGACGTATGCTGATAAGAATACAAGAAAAAACAGAGAAAGAGAATCAATTGGCTTCCAATGAAAATAGTTAGAGATCTTAGGAAAGTGTGACTTGTGTATTATTGTAAATATTATCATTTGTATTAATAGTATAGTTAGAAGATGGTAGTAGTAGAATGTATAACGTGTTGAAATTATTTCAAATCCACTGGGTAACAAATAACAATCAATTAATTGATGATTTTCTCACTAAAATATATAGTTTTCATATTGATGATGTGCGTAAATTTTCCTGGGAACTCCAATTCTTAAAATTTGCTATCGGATTTAGACAATATTAGATGATATCAATAAATAAAATCGATTGTAAAAATGCTTTACGATAGTTCGATTCATTAGTTTAATGCACAGCTCATATGAAGAAAGCTGTAGGCATGAAAGAAAACCAAAGCGCCTAAATTCAGCGATTTCCATTTCATTTTAATTCTTGGCACGCGTATAGTAATATCAAATAGAGGGTACAAGAATATTTATTATTCTCTTCATTGAGCTGATAGTGTATTTTATAGCAACAAAACAAAAGGCACGCTAAGATCGAGATAAATCTACAAAAAAGGAAAAACATAAGTTTTCATAATCTCATATTTTTTCAAGTCACAATTTACCATTTCTTGACTTCGCACTAGCGCATCTCATTATTCTTAAGCCCTGTCCTCTCAAAAAACGATCTTGGTTCGAATATTTTCAAACCGTCTAAAATTTTCAGCCTCGTATCATGAAGTTGTCGGGACACATGCAATAAACAAGGGCAAAAAATAATTCATTTAGCATCTGTGCTCCTTCATTCTATATGCTCAAGTTTTTTTTTTGTTTGGGAGAGCATGTCAGGATCCAGGGCATGATAGAACCTTTTTTTTTAAATTTTTTTACTTTTTAAGTAAAGCAAAATTCAATGTCTCAAGAGACTCTCAAAAAAAATGGTGTTCTTATAAAAGTACTCTTTTATACAATAATAACAGAGCTTAATTTAAAAAAAAGGGACATTGTCTTGCGCTGTACCTTGATATGTTCTTTCAAACATAACAAAAAAGAGCAATTAGCTACAATGATGTTCCTTCGCCAATTCAGCGACGTACGATCGGATAAAAAAATATAAACAAAGAAAAAACGAAAAAGATTTCCTGCTTTTTCTGAAAACAGCATATTTTTCAAGGCAGTAAGCAGAAATTATCAAGAGAAAGAAGAGGTGAATAAAAAAAATTCTGTCATTTATGACAAATCAGGCATTGATTTATCTTCCCATGTATTTATTTTAATATCGATAATTCTGACCACAATTGACTTTTTTTTTGGAGAGAACCTAAATCAGTTTGATATGATCCTTTTTCAATTAATTTTATCAACCTAAATTATACAGAATTCATACACAACTAACTCTAAAACACAATAAATATGAGTAAATCAAGTCAAAGAAATTATTGAATGACTGGACGTTGATTTCAATCTTATATTTCATTAGTTCCAATTTTATTTACCACTATTGTCTGAATCCAATAGCAAATTTCAAGAAAGTGCTATTGGACTAAAATTTGTAATTTTCTGAATAATGCGTGATGTTTTTATTTATACTCAGGAAAATTTACGTACATTATCGAAATGAAAAAATCAATTCTAATTATATATATTTTTTAATTAGAAAATCATCAATTAATTGATTGATATTATATTACCGAGTCGATCTGAAATAATTTCAACAAAATTCTGTATCGCATTTATAACATTGATATGACATGCATGTCACTTCATTCCTCATTCTCGTCTGACATGTTTAATTTGTAATATGATCGATTTGTTTTGTTTTTTCAAGATTTAAAAGTGTATGAATTTCTTATTGAAGAATATCATATCGTATATAGTTCCTATGTAGCAAGGAAAATTCTATATAACTATTGCTTTTAGATTCCTATATTTTTTTAAATGATACTACGAAGTCCGATGCATGCCTAGTATCAGTGAGAATACATCATCTGTTCTTTATTATTTATTTCTATATGTCGATTGAATACAAATTAACTTGATACAACAATTAATATCACTTAATGATAATGTAAATCAAAGATAAAAACCGTTAGATTTGTACTGAATAATACTCTTGAATATGATATATAATCAGTTAAGCACGATCCGGTCGTGCTTTTTTTATGCATCTTTAGATCCTGTCACCACTTGTTTATTTATACAAAACGAAAATATTATTGTGCAGAAGATGTTTTTTAGCACAGCAGATATCTAATGATGTAGATTTTTTTGTTTTGTTACTATAATTATCATTACAATATCGTACACTATTTACAATAATCTGGAATAAATTAAAAGAAAAGAAAAATATTTTTTTATTTATTACAAAAATAAATCTTTTTCTTTTTTTAGCATGAACAACGTCATCGTAGTTTTGCATCATTTGTTGTAACAAGTACAACAACAGATCCAAATGAAGAATTAGAAAATTATATATGTTCAATAAATGAATCAGGTGGCGAGCCATCAACACCACCAATTAATATTGAATTTGAAATATTTCACTCTCCAGTTAATAAACTAACTACATATGATTCTCGTTTACAACATTTATCACCACATACTACTGAGCAATTAATTGTTTATGCAGCACCAATTATTCAATCACAATTATCATTACGTTGTAGAGAAACAGCTGAACGTTTAAAAGAAGTAAAAAAGGAGAAATCAGCATTATTAGCTGTTGTTAATAAAACACTCACAAAGCATCATCAACAACATGAAGATCAACAACAGTAAGTTAACAAAACAAAAAGTACCATAATCTTATTTGTTTTTCATTTAAAAACAATTAAACCGAATATTCCTAATTTTCTTGACTCTTAATATCAAACAAAATATAATTAAGAATAAATTTTTTTTCCTATACATTAAATATCTATTATTTATGTATATAGAAAAGACAAGAAGCTACTAATGCATAAGAAAAAAGATCAAACTATATATAGAAAAAGATTTTTTTTGTATCATGATTCTGTAATCTTATTAAATATAATTTTAGATCAGAGAAAATCTTGCTTAATCATATGCAGGGTTTTATGAAAAAGAAACATCAATTACGTTTAATTGAACTTGAAGAATCTGTATTAATAGCACAGGTAAAATATATTATTCTATTTTATTTTACGTTTGACAAGCAAAGTAAAAAAAAAACCTAACAGTTAAATAAAGAAAAATCTCAGAAAAAAAAATCCATGACGTTTGTTTATAATAATGACATTTTTTTTTCTTCTGTCGTTAGTTTTCTTCAAAATGATAATGACCACTCTGATAGATAAGATATAATATCAATATTTGCTTAAAAAACATCATTCTCATCATAAGAAATGTTTGTCATTGTATCAATGAGATCATTATTTCATAAAAACAATCATGTATTGAAACTTGCTGATGCCTACTCTAAAGGCATATATATATATATATCTATATCTATATATATACATCAAGTAATGGGTAATGCCATTAAATCAATGAAATCGACCGTAGTCTATTAAAGAACAGAAGAGAAACAACAACTGATTGGATTTTTTTTTCTTTTCCTTTGTAGAATAATCCATCTGTCATATGTCTATGCATAGCAAGATGCTTTTGTCAAATGCCGCGTCAAATGTTTAAGCATTAAATGAGCGAGTATTTGAGTGCTAGATATAGATCGATATAATGCGATCGAGCGCAACAAACGATAACAACTCGTGCCCACACATACATACACATATATATATATATATAAATATATATATATATATATAGAAGCAGTAAGGACAAAAAGAGAACGCTTGAAGAATCCATCAGATTGATTAATCGGCAGTTTCTTCTCATTTGTAGACTCTATCATTGCTTTGTTTGTTGTTCCCTATTAACACATTCACCATTTTTTTCTTCTTCTTGCTAACTTACGACAATATGCCCTATGCATAGTTCTTTGACATCATCTCATAACAAAAATATGTGTATATGTTAGAAGAATAATAACAAAATTATAGACGACGACTTTACCGGTTTGTTTTCGACAATTGACTTTTACTTGCAAAAGCAAAAAAACCTTATGTTATTCAAATATTATTATTAAGCTTTGTATCGTAAGTTTTTTATGTAAAGTAAAAGAAAAAAAAGGAGATTCACTTGAAAAATGGTCTCCTGTATTTTGCAGACGTTCTTAGAACGATTAATATAAATAAATGCTGTTTTCTTTTAGATAGGTTTTACTTGTAGGGCGGAGTCACAGCACG